ATTTTCTCAAAATCATCTCTATTTTCTCAAAATCATCTCTATTTTCTCAAAATCATCTCTATTTTCTCAAAATCATCTCTATTTTCTCAAAATCTAATAAAGACCTGTGGAATTCCTCCGTCCGGTCCTCTCCATCAGCAGAGATCATGAGGCAGTGGCGCAGGAGGGCACCCAAGTGCCGGTACAAAGCAGCGTCTTCCTGGCTCCAAAACAAAAATCAAAATTTTGATGAGGAAAAGGAACCTCTTGGAGCCCGCTCCCCCTTTAGCCTGCAGCCTTCTCCCTCCCTCCAGCTCCCCGGGAATGGGTAGCCCCAGAGCTCACCTCATCYACCTCCCTCTTGCTGGAATCAAAGGTGATGTTGAAGAGCACCTTCAGGATCTCCATGGCTCGCTCCGTCTCCAGCCGCGGCAAAGGCGGGAGAAGCCCCTCGTCGGCGGCCACCTCGTACGGGTCCATCCACTTGGCGCCGAGCGTGAGCTCCAGCGTGTCCGTCATGAGGCTGACGCCGCGGAGCTCCTGGGCGAGCTGCTGCCGCACGTCCACCCGCAGCGCCGTGAGCAGGAAGAGCAGGCGCAGGTCGAAGAACTTGACCTCGTGCGGGAGGCTCCTCTCGTTGTAGAGCTTGACGCGCTTCGCCAGGCCCACCACGAGCCGTGCTTCGGCCGTCAGCTCCTGCGCCCTGGCGCTGCTGAACACGATGTTGCAGAGGCATTTGAGGGATTCCAGGATTACATCCAAGTCCGGGACCTCTCGGATGAGCTCCTCCGAGTAATCGATGCCGGCGTGCCTGGAGAGGGTCTTCAGGCCCTCCTTGGTGGTGAAAGGGTCAAGACAGTGCTTGTCCCGGGACAGGATGCGGATGCTCTCCAAACACGTAACCTGGCAGGATGGCTGTAGCTCTCTTTCCAAGAACTTGATCAGCAGCTGGGCCATTTTCTGGGCAGAAGGAAAACCATTAATTTGCTGTCAGAACTGAGCAAGCGACCACTCCTTCTGACCAAGTCACATTTGATTCAGAGCCTGTGCCCAGGGCTAACCCTCTGGAAGGGCTGAGCACCAGGAATAAGATGGGATTTCAGAAGAGAAACCCAAGAAGGGAACTACCCAAGGCTACGTCCCAATTTGTGGCCTATCCTGTTGTTCTAGCCCAGTCAGTCACTAGCAGCGTGCTCAGATCTCCCCAGACCCAGTCCTGGGCTGTAGGCTGTAGTTAGGAAAGCATTAGCTGCCACTGAACACATTCAGCATGGTCAGGCCATGGCACAAGAAGTGCATCTCTGAACCCAGAGGAGGCCCTAGGGATGGGAAGCGGCCGACTTTTAGCATCTAAAACATCCTAAAGCATCATCTACTGCTGCAAAGCTGAAGCCAGGTGCTTTGTGCACATCATCCCCACACCAAGCGTGTCTTCAAGTCTGTGGAGAAAAAAAAGCCCTCATCTCTTTCCCTCCGMAATTGGTCACCACAAAATCCTGCTGCACCCAAGTACAGAGCAGCAGCAGACCTGTCCACCCAACTAGAGAAGAGCCCAAACAACTTGCTCACCTTCCTCTCTTCCCGCTCCTCATCGTTGAAGGTGAAGCACTGAGATTTCTGCAGGGGCAGAGGAGAAAGAATGAAGTTCAAGGGACAGGTTAGAAGCCTGCAGAGCTGCGTGCCTGTTATTCCAGAGGTTGTGTCCCTCAGTCATCTCTGAGGAACACTTGTGATAAAGGTTACCTCCTCACTGGCTCTGCGGTAAAGGCTGAATGCCACAAAACTGCCCATTATTTGTATTTATTTTACTTATTTTTAAGCACTGCAGGAATTGAGTAGATATTCATCCCAACCACAGTGCAGCATTTCACATCACGGTGTAACATTTTAATTCCTCCTGCTCAGTGCCACCTCAGCACATCCCAAGCTTTGCCAATACATTTTTTCCCCTTGATATTCATTCTTCCTTCCCTGACTGAAAGCACCACCTTATTATTTGCAAACAGATCCTTTGTGCTCTTCATTCCTACGGTGCCTGGAAATGCAACTGTTACTCAGCTGATGTTCTTTAAGCACCACTGATTAGCACAGGTAAGCACCCTTCTCCATGTGGCACCTCACAGCGTGTGCTTTGCTGCCTTGTGTTACTCTGTTACTGAAACTGAAGTGCGCTTGAACGCCACCCAAAACAGGCACCAAGATCTCAGCAACTTTGGCTGAGTTATGGGCAGGCAAACACATTCKGGAGCCTCTGGTGGCTCCCACCACAGCTCTTCCATAAGCCAGGCTTTGCAGCAAGYGTACCAAGAACGCACTGCCAAGAGCTCCCTCCATCCTGAATTCACCCTTCTGCTCTGAGAGCGTTTCCACAGAGTCCCACGGAGCAAGCACGTAGTGCACAGGAGCTTCTCTTTCACACGGTGAAATTCTCACAGGTGAGACAGGAACCAWTAGATTAAGCAGCCTGATCACCTGCATAAGGACAGCCCCAGAGCTTTACCCACTGTGTGCTTTTGGAAGAAAAGCTGTACAGAAAGGCAATATTTCCGTAGATTTCTATGTATGGTTTTCTATAGATTATAGACAGAGGCTGCGGGTATCACTGTACTACCATCGCCACCATTTTCTTCACCCTCCCTGTCACCTCTTTCGCACCTCCTTTGCACAGATGCTTYCTTATGCACAGCGGATGCCAGGCCACCAAGCTGCTCGCAAGGAGACACTGCAGCTTGCAGACCAGCTGGCTCCCTGTCACCCAGGTCCCCGGGGCGGCCTCAGTGCTGGGTGCCAAGACGTGCACAGGCTGTTGCACCGCGTTATGMGGGGCCGCCGGTTCCCTCCACAGACCTGTGTGCTCTGGAGACAGCCAAGCCCCTTGTTCTCTTCCTTTCCCTTCACAGCTCCCTTGTGGGTTCCTGTCCATTTCTGCAATGTCACATCCCCTTTGACTGCTCCATTCCTTCCAGACTGACTAGCAAAATCACTGACATTCTCACAAGTTTCCTACGCTTGATGTACTGACAAGAATCCAGCTGGAGGAATTCAATTGACATCGTCTTGGTTTGACACCTCGAGCTGGTTACACATCAACCCCCCCGCTTTGCTCCCCGCATCCCTTCAGCATTACAGCCTCTAGGTGATGGTCATCCTGCCAACCGTCTTTCTTTTGGGGAGTCTCCTGCTTCCTAGCCCACATTTTCTATGTCTCACAAGCAACCACTGGCAGCCGCTGCTCGTTTTCCCCTTGCACACACGTGCAAAATACTCACAGCCTTTCCCTGCTCGCTTCCCACCTACTCAAGAATGGTGCAGAATGAGTCACAGAGATCCGCAGGGCCAGCCCTACAYTGGTGGGAATCCTCTGAAAGACATTTCCCTGACAGCTGGAGTCTATCTCAAAAGGGAACTATCCTCACAGATTGTCTTTGCTGCTTTAAGGATAGAAATGCTTCCGTTTTTGCTTCCTAGCCAGTCTTTTCATATCCCCCTCAGTTTTGCCCTTTTCTTATTGTTGGCTTTCAGCTCAAGCAGCTGTGCCTAATCCCAGCAGCCCATCCTTGTCCATCTGCAGTGATCTTTGACTTGCAAATCACAGTAGCTATTTCACCTGCAGCTCCTCCCTGGGCTTCAGTGCTCTTCCCTCCAAACCTTGCTTTAATATAAAAGCTTCTCCTGTTTCATATTCATGCTGATGTCTACTCTCCCAAAATGTTTACTTGGACTCTGGATGATAAAAAATAGAAATGCCTTTTCTGTTCTTTAATTCCTGTACACCAAGAAAACAAGATAAAGAGACGCTACTTAGCTGCTCCCTTAGAGAACACCAAGCATGAAACTATCTGCAAGCAAAAAATGAAGCAGTCTGTGACATTTCTATGACAGTAACGCAGAGACAGATGCGCTTAGAGGAGACTGCCGGGGGACAGAAACCCCACAACATGGCCAGCCYGCTCCTGCGCTCGTGAACAGCAGCGGCTGACGTCAGGCAGAGCTCGGATGCTCACTCACCTCTCGGTTGTAGACCTGAAGCACCTTGAGAACCGTGTCCTGCTCCCCGCTTTCCACCGTGGCTACCACCGTCCTCAGCTCCATTATCTCACCAGCTCAGCTACGGAAGGAAGCAAAATGGGTAGGAAGGGGAGTGAGGGGCTCCTGGACAATGCTGATGCAGAGGGACCTCGGTGCACAGAAGGAGTGAGGAAAGGGTGGGGAAAGAAAGCAGGAAAAACATCCCCCCTCCCTTCAAAAAACACCCCAAACCCACACGTGAGATTGCTCACTCGGTTGCATCCGTAAAAGCAGAGCAGATGGATAGGGCAAATAAAACCAGGGGCTTGCGTCCTCTCTCTCCCCCTCTAATCCTGGTCTTCCTCCCTTGGCTTTCCAGCATTTAATGCACGGCTCCCGGTAGAGCACTCGGGAAAAGCTTCCCCCCCCTCAGCCCTGCCAGAGGATTAACACAGCACAGATAACAGCAGCTCCCTGAAATAGCTCCCTGCCTCCTCCTCCTCCTTTGCTGCCTGTCCTGATTTCTGTTACTGCTCAGGAAAAAAATAAATAATTAAATAAAAGGGGGGGGGGGGGAGCACGCACCCCACACCAGAACCATTCCCTCGGAGCAAAAAAGGGATGGAGAGGGAAGCAAGGCACRGAGGCAGGTACCATCCTGGCTCACTTAAGGATGAGCTGCCTTTTAAGGTGGTGAAAATAAGTTTTGGGGTAGAAATCACAAGGATTTTGTTGAGTTTGTTGGAAGSGGGGTAGTTCAGCACACAGGGCACTCGGTGCCTATATTTTAGATTACGGCAGATACAGGGCACACGATCATATAAAAGCCCTCGCCCAAGTGACGGACGACCTCCACGGCCAGTGTTTTTACACCATTGGAGAAGGTGCTTCACAAGAACCACGTCACTGAGCACAAAACGATGAYTATTTTCAGGAGAGCCACAGGTTTAGCTGCTCCGTGCAGCCTTGCCGGCTTAGGGGGCTGAAAAGCAGCGCGTCGCACCGCAAGCTCTTGCGATCCAGCCCACAGAGGYGACGCTCGGATGTCACGCAGCTGGGCACCTGGCAGCAGCAAGGCAGGGGGTTCTGAGGGCCAGTACATCAAAAAATAAAAAAATAAAATAAAATAAAATACAAGTGGGGAAAACAGCTCCCCTCCAAAGGACAGCACGGTACCTTCACTCCTCGGTGTTGCAGGACTTGGGTACCTAACTTCCCCCTGGCTTTGCAGGGTAGTATCAGCAAGCAGAAATGGCAGCACTCCCTATCTTCCTTCCAGCCCCTATTTTCACTCCCCCTTTCCATTCCTCCACCCGACCCGTTTTCCTCGTTCYGCTTTCGGCCTCTCCCGCCTTTCCAAGCCGCTCCCGGCCCTTCCTCCGCGCCTTACCTAGGGCGAGCGCTCCCGGCGGCGGCGGCCCGGGAACGGCCGGCGAGAGGAGAGGAGCCGAGCGAGGCGGGCAAGGCGGCCTCCCTCCCGCCCCGGCCCTCCCTCGCCGCCGTGCCCGCGGCGGAGGAGGCCCTGCCCCGCCGCTACACGCGCTCGGGACACGGGAGAGGCTGAACCCACTCAACGCTCCGGGGGTCCCAGCGCGGGGGAAGCCGAACCTCAGCCCCCCCAAGGTTTTCTCTTAACCACTTAATTAATTCCCAAAGGGGCTTAACACTCAGCAGCTAGCCGCCACCTCCGGCGCCAAAGCGGCCGCCGCCATTTTGTGGCGGGGGGAGCTACGCGAACTCCCTCCCTGAGGCGGCCCCCGCCTCGGCCGCCATTTTGTGGAGGCGGGAGCTTCGCGGGCTCCTCCCCTGAGGCGGCCCCNCCCTGAGGCGGCCCCCGCCTCGGCCGCCATTTTGTGGAGGCGGGAGCTTCGCGGGCTCCTCCCCTGAGGCGGCCCCGCGCCGCAGTCTCGGCCGCCATTTTGTGGAGGCGGGAGCTTCGCGGGCTCCTCCCCTGAGGCGGCCCCCCCCCCACCCCGCCTAGGCCGCCATTTTGTGGAGGCGGGAGCTTCGCGGGCTCCTCCCCTGAGGCGGGATCGCACCGTCGTCTGGCCCGGGGGCCTGTCGCCGCCATGGCGGAGTGGGGCCGAGGTGAGGGTGAGATGGGAGGAATGGGCTGGGATGGAGGGSTTTCCCTCCCTCTTTCCCTCCGCCGCTATGTGGGGTGCGGGGCGCCGCCGCCATTTCGGTGTTGGGGAGGTGCTGTCACTGCTTTAGAGCCTGGGGGGGACGGAGCAGCCCAGCTAGGGGTCCGCGGCTGCCTTTGCCCCCTTGAAGCGTTGGCGTCAAGGGTCGTGTAACTCCTGGTCTCGTGGCGGTGTTAGGGGAGCGACATGGGTGGTGGTTTTGGGGGTAGAAAAACCAGCAAAACCATGAAATGGTGTACGGCGAGGTACTGCCTTGGGGCAGRGTAAAAAGTGCCTTTTTCCTCGTTGACCAAAAAGCAGTTGTGACGGAAACGTGCTACCATGGAGGTCCCAGATTTGTTTGGTTTCACGCAGACACCACCACGGTGGAGGGGGAGTGTGGTCAGAGCGTGTCCTCAAAAGAGGGTGCTGGGTCAGCCCCGGTGTCTCAGAGCTTTAGCTAGCGCAGCATTGGGGTGTTAAGGCTGGTGTGTTCGGGGTTCCTTTCCCACGGGCCCTGTCACGGCCTCGCTGGGGGTGAAGTTGAGAAGCGGCCCTTTGGGTCAGAGCAGGGACTGGCAGCGGTCGCCGTCCCCGCCTGGGATGGGGGAACACCAGGGCGGCAGACGCGGCCCCTCCGCTGCCCATACTGCACAATAAGCAAACATACAGCTGCCGATAATGAGGAGTGACAAAACRCCTTCTCCTTTCCATCCCAGGTCAGAGTCCAAGCGCCATGGAGGATATGTTAGATGCTGAGAACAAGCGCATGGCAGACAGCCTGGCCAGCAAAGTCACCCGGCTGAAATCGGTGAGTGGCCGAGCTCCCGCAGGGGGCTGCAGTAAACAACGTTCATCTTCAGTTATCTGCGTTCATCTCTCACACTGTCTTGTGGGAGACACAGATCTCTGGCCATTTACAGGGGGCTTTCTTTTTATAAGCTACTCCTAGAGGCTGCTGTAGTGGATTGTTGCAKTTAGCTTATTCTGAAGTGCTTGGGACTGTTCTATGAATCCCTTCTTTCTTTGTGAGGTTCAGCTGTATCATGATGTGCAATAGCAGTGATATGGTTTTGGTGGCATTCAGTTAGACACAAAGAGAAACATTAAGATGCACAAAGGGATACTGCTAAACTTATCTTCTCTGGGAAAAAAAAAGCTRTAATAACAATTAAATTGCTTTTGAAAAATATGCAGGTACGTATATGTGTGGTGCTCATGAAACTAGTTTTCTTGGCCTAGGTTCTATTTAGAACTTAATATAAATCAGTGATCAGTATTTTAGCAGGCAAGACTGAATTTCTCCTGTTATGTCTTGATGTTTAAATGCTCATATCCTGCATATAAAGCTTTGGTTTGATAGTAAGACTTTACTTCTAGGGCTGTAGAGCAGAATAATTTTAACAGACTTTAACAGAAATGAGAATCCCRTTCTGTCACTGTACCAAACAAGGCTCTGTGTGTCTCTACAGGAAACAGGGGCAGTGGCTCGCTCTTCTATATCCTTTTAACATTTTCTAGCTTTATATACATTAGAGGTTGTGTTCCTGTTAAAAGTTCATTAATACTTGTTTCCCCCTTGTTCTGTATAGCTGGCTTTGGACATTGACAAAGATGCTGATGACCAGAACCATTATCTGGATGGCATGGTAAGAAAGTGATGAAACATTAATAAAGCTTTTTTTTTTTTTTTTTTTTGGTGTGTGTGTGTGTGCTGTCTCTCAGTTACCTTATTGTGAAAGCTAACAGCAGTTCAGTGCAGGAGAAAGTTTCCAGTGGTTGGCAAACCACGTAGTACAACTAAACCCATTTTCTGTGGGTTTATTGATGAATAAAGGTTAAAAACCTTTAATAATGTTAAATAAGTTAGCAGCTGCTAATACTGGTTTGAATGGACAACACAGCCAGGTATGTAGCATCTGTCCACGCGCCCATGTAGGACATTGTACTGAAGCAATACAGATGGGGAGTTCCTGGAATTGAAGATCTGCCTCCTCTAGTTCATACTGGGAGTCCTATTCCACTATGGCCCTATTTGTCAGTTGTTTCTGTGATTTTTTTTTTTTGTTGTTGTGATGAATAAATTTGTCAGCGTTGCTCACTGTTGCTGAAACACAAGGGTACTCACTGAAACACAAAATAGCTGTCCAGGTTCACTGCTGTCTTTGGARGGAGCGAGGCAGATGCTTTAGGTGCTGTCAGGTTGTTAGGTTCCCAATTCTGTCACCATTCTGCTTTAATTTCTAGAGGCAGCATAAATGTAATGTACACAATGACTGATAAAAGCAAAGTCACTCTCCAGAGTAATCTGCCTCTCAAGTTTTGGTTGCTGATGGAAAATCCCAGTGCTATGGGGAAAGGCCAGGATGATCAATTACTGTGTTAGTGTGTAGAAAATATATAACCATTTGAGGCTAGAAAGCAAGATAATGTTTCTCTTGCCTTCAAGAGAAGATAGGTTTTTTTCCTACCAAATCAAATATTCTTATATTTAGATAACACCATTAGATTCTGCAGCGTTACCTAAATTGAAATATTTTAGCGGTTCTGTGGCACGTGCAGAGGAAAAGCTCATAGCAGTGGGTTCACCATCCTGAGGCTTGCTAGGAGAAAGATAATTCACCAATTGAGTTGTGAGAGGAAGGGAGTCCCAACACGTATTTGAGAAGGAGGTTAGCACAGTAGCACTGCTGAGTTGAGAGACTTTTCCACACATGTTGTRTTTTGGAGAACTGGTACGTGAAAGCCAGGGAGAAGATAATTGTAGTGTTGAAACCAGCTGAGTTAAAAATGGGAGCTTAGGTGGGATCTTAATAGCAGCACACGCTGACAGTGAGGAGGAACTGAAATGGGTATTTGCTCAGCCAGGAAATCAGGAGAATGAAAATAAAAGATGTTGGGGCAAAAGAGCTTAAAGGAGGAGTCCTAAATATGAAGTTATGCTTCTGTTAGGGAAACTTTCCAGGTATTTCAGGAGAGCAGAAGCAGGAGCTACAAATAAGGTATGGATAAGTAAAGCAGGCCAGGAGTCAAAATTAAAACGACTGCATTGCATTAATTTGAGAATTGTTTTGCCAGTACCTGACAGAGTTTTATATCCATGCCRTTGCATTCTAAAGTAAAAGTAGAACAAATGGAAAAGAACTGCACCTTTTTCTGTAATTCTCAGCTTGTCCCAGCATGCAACAAATAGACTTTAGCTTCATGGAGAGGCTTTTCCTTCAAGTGTTCACTTGTAGAGTTACCACTAACAAGCTGTTTCAGGCCAAACAAGAGGCAGAGGCACAATTAAACAGTGCMGTAAGAGATGATTTTATAGCAGACCACTTTGAGCACTGCAGAACTGGTGACGTTGCTGGAGTCTGAGCACAGGAGTGGAAGAACTTTCTGAGAGAAGCTTGATTATGCCTGAGGAGAGATAGGCCATTACTGTGCTGCTGCCTATTCAGATGCCTTTTAATCACTCAAAGGAGTTCTTAAGGAATCATGTCTCCATTTTACCTTTCTTTCTCCTTTAGGATTCAGATTTTATGAGTGTGACTGGCCTGCTGACCGGCAGTGTGAAGCGGTTCTCCACCATGGCCCGATCGGGGAGGGATAATCGCAAGTTGCTCTGTTACGTTTCTGCAGGACTGATCGTTGTCTTCTTCATCCTCTACTATCTTGTGTCAAAATCAGGGACTTGAGCATGGTTGTCGTGTCAGAAATGTTACAGACCAAAAATCATGTGTTGTTTGATGGACTTATTGAAAGCCTTTTTCATTCTGCCCTGTTGTGGAGTCTTTGAGACATTCCAAGCAGTCCAAATAACTTTTCTGTTCCCCAGCTTACTGTCAGTGATCGGGCTGGTCTTGGACGTATCTTTATAAAACGTTTGTTTCATTCTACACTGACTTTCACCTGTAAAATGATTTTGATGTTGTTAATGCCTAAACTTTCATCTCCTGCCTTGTTGTCCACGTYCTTCAGCCTGTTTTCAATGGACACCTTTGTGTTGGCAGTGTTACTGATATTACTAAACTCGGAAAGACTTGTGTCAGACAAAATCCAGAGACTCGGTGCGCAAAAGTTTAGCAAGAAGTCCAGAAGCTGCTCATTTTAGGACTGCTGATTWATGAGGTTTGGAGGTATGAACTTGGGACTTGTATTGCAAGCTGAGCCACTTGGCTCATACACAGTCTTAGTTTCACTTTGTCTTGGAGGCATGTTAATAACCTAGATGTTACTGGGTTGGAGTTAAATTTGTACAGTTTTGAAATTAAGTCAGCACTATATCTGGATCCCGGTGCACTATAATTGCTGCAGAGGAGCAAGATGTTGAGTGATAGCTTGGCTTTATTTATTATCTTTCTAGGTGAAGCTGAGTGGACACTGCAGGAAAAGAAGGGCCAAAGTCCCTAAGTTGCCATTATTTGCACATGTATAGCATCATCCCACACACTTGAAAACACACTCCCCTAAACTCTTTTAAATATAAATACTCAATCAATGTCCCCTTTTCAAGACTGCTTGCTTCAGCCTTCATACAGTTCATTATACTTATTACCATATCCCTGTACTACAGTGCTTTGGAAAGACATTGTGCAGTTAAAAACAGAGCTTGTGGGCGAGTCCTGAAGTCCATCTTGTTGAGTTAGTGGTTGGAGGACAGAGACAGATTTGATCTGAGAGTTGACAGATTTTTTTTTTTTTAGTAGATGGTAACCAAAGAAACTCTAACTTGCTGTCCAGTGCTGCTGGGATCCTGCGATGTCTGTGTGAGATGTGTGGCAAAGCACATCCATACATGTTGTGTTTATAGAGCAATCATTCCCTGTGAAGATGCCACATCGGCCTCCTCTCCTGAGGCACTGGATTTAGCTCTCGGTCTCAGATGATCAAGAGTAGAGCAGCTTTTAGGGCCTTGGAAAAGACTTCTCTTTCCCCTTTCCATACGTTGGGCTGATCAGTCTCTTTACTCATGTCACTACTCTGTGTTTCTTCTTCCGTAGCTGATCTAAGTCTGCCTCTAATCAGAAGAAAAGATCTGTAACTTCCAAAAAACACTGTGCCTGTTGAATGAAGCARCAAAGAAACAAAGCCTCTTCGGGGGCAAAACCCTCACTACCTATTGCATAAACCTTTTACTGTACAAAGCAGCTGTGCATTTCATAGTCTGGTTTCTGTACCAAGTGCTGATGTGTTCTGCTTTTCTTTGTTGCAACTCTTTGCTTATTTTGTTCCCTTATCCTCCTGTAGCAACTACCTCTCCAGGACTAAAGTTTTTCTCCTCTTTCACAGTCCATCTGTCTAACAGGTCATCACTCATCAAAACAATTATGTGTTTTATTTGTCCTTGCTGTTGTGTCTTTAGGAATTCCCTCTTGCCTGGACTAAGCTGGGTCTAAAGCTAAGCAGACTGTACTGTTGCTTGCTTAAAAAGCACCAAACATGTAACAAAGTAATTCTGTAATTTGATTGTGTGTCTTCTTTTTTTTGTTTGTTTGAGTTTGGGGGAGAAGGTGCAATGAAGGTGAACAGGCAAGGAGGCAGCAGTGACTTTCTCTGGTTCTTGTTTGTGCTTCTCTGGTAAGATGTGGCGGTTCCAAACTCTTTTTTACACTTGGAAGAATGATGGTTGTATCACTGGGCTCTGTTTTGATTTTTTCCGAAGTGGATCACTTCTGCTCAAAGGCTTCTAGAACAGCCTGGTCTGATAGTGGTGGTTTTGGTTTGCTTTTTATGTTGTAAATAAAATTGTTTTTAGAATATTTTGGCCAAGTTTCTTTTTTGTTTGTTGTTTTTCCCCTGAGCTTACTGAATAATATTAAAAAACAAGATTGCATCATTCCCTTATATATAAATTGTACAGAACCTGCTGCCTCAGAACCAATTATAATGTTATCATGTGGAACCGTGTATCTGTAAGAAACTGTGCAGAAATCTGACCAAAGCTGCACTACCTCAGAAGTAGCAGGACATTCATTGCTCTGCAAGATCTGCCAGTGTCATTTGAGAAGATGACTTGTATCTCCAGTAATCTATCTAAACAAGCCATATTTCAGAAGTTAACCTGCCCATACCTTACTTGTCCAGGAAATATCTGCCTTGCAGTGATTTCTTTRGCAGATCTCCTCAGGGATCCATAGGGAAGTGCTGACATGAGATGTCATGGCTCATTCTTGTTCTGTTCTCAAGCAACCGTAACAGCCTAGGTGGGATGCCAGGGAAGTGTTGTGGGGACTGCTGCAGATTGGAGCTTTGCTCAGTACAGAGCAACTGCTTACCCTCTTATTTTTGCTGCTGTTTCGAAACAGGCGTTTCCGTGAAACCTGCATCCTGCAGAAGGGAAAACCTCAGGAGTTTTCAAATGAATGATGGAAACTAAAAGTACTTGAACCTCTCAGAAGCTTCTAAACCTCTCAGAACCTTCTCAGAAGCTCATTTTAATTAGCCCAGGATGGGYTGTTTCTCACAGGGRTGCCCGAGGAAGYTTGTGGGGTTTTTGTTTTGTTTTTGTCAAATGTATTGACTTTTTTAAACCTAACTGCTAGCCAAGGAGATAAATACGCGACGTGAGAGGCTCTTCGTTTGCTCTGTGAGGTTTCCCCGGCCCCCAGCTCTTTTCCATCTGCGAAGAGCTGTGCAGGTTAAGGCAGCATTTGCAGTTGCTCCCTGAGCCTGGTAGTGATCCTGGCTCCTGTCTCCGGCTCCGTTAGGCCTCGGGTGCCTCTGCCATGTTTACGCAGTGCTTGCAGCCATGCCCGTGGCTACTGAAAAGAGCGCTTCAGTGCRCCAAAGAAGTTACATAAGTGGAACCATGTAATGAAGTCCATCCTTAATATCTATACGTGCATGGAATTGTATATCAGGAACCAGTTACAGCACTGCCTAACCTTGCTTAACCCTCCAGAACTTCAAAGCAGGAGCGCTAGGAAATCTCTAGGGAAATGGAGAATCTTGCGCATCATTAMATGTTCTATGGAAGTGGAAGATCTATGGATTTAGAAAACTCTGTTTTGAAATACCCCCAAACAGCCTTTCCCAGAGCATGCGTGAAAAGCAGGGAAAGGATCTCTTTGTTCACTGCTGTTAATATGTCTCATTGAGGTTTTTGTTGCAGGCAAGGCTGTTTCTTCAGAGCTTTTTCATGGTGTGAGGCAGGTCATGTTGATCCTCTTAGCTTGTGATGAAACAATCATGGATTTAAGATTTATGGCAATTAAATGCTTAGAATAGAATTCCTGATCAGTATTTGCTGTCAGTCTCAGCTCTCCCCTGTAGAGGGTTGTGCTCCTCTTTGAGCACCCTGCGTTAAAGAAAGGGCTAACAAAGGCAAAGAGAACTGTGCGAGCTGCTTCAGTACAAGCCCATATGGACCAGAGGCTCCTTTTTCCCCTTTTGACACTTGAATCTTGATTCTCAAGTCAAAGAAGATCGCAGAGCTATAGTAAGCTAAGCAACCACATTACAAATGTTACTGTGCAACATCGCATGCAGTTACGCGTTTCACATTTTATTTAAAAATATGTTATTGCAAATGAAATACGAATATTGCTTTTTCTCACACTGAAAGGATTCCAGTTGTTAGTGGCTTTGTTAATTTTTCCATAAATGCAAGTAATCTGGGGGTTTACCTGTGGCTTTTAGGCACAGCCATCAAAACAGAGAATGAAGCGCAGCACCGAGGTGAGGAATTTGGGTCTTAAGCCTTTTTTTTTTAATTGCTGGCAATTAAAAATGTGCTGCTGGAGGTATCTAATGTTGGTGATGCTTTTGATTTTGCTACTCTTTTTCAGTTGTAATATAGTAGTGTTTAGTCGAGGCATGAAAAATGGATAGGGGAAAACAGGCTATTTCTTCCCCCACTGCTTAAGGTGCATAATCAACATTTGTGTGTGTGTGGGGGGGGTATTTTGTTTTATTAAAGCTACAGTAAACCAAGAATTTGAATTGCACTCCAAACTATGTTCTTTTATATACTGTTCTGTAGTGCCACCTAAAGGCAGGTCGCCAAACTTGGTTGAACTGACCTGTCATACAAAGAATAACTTTTACCTTTTTTTTTTTTTTTCCTCCCCCAGAAATTAACATTAACATGCTAGGGGGAAAAAAAAAAAAAAGAAAAAAAAAAAAAAAGAAATCTCTGCAAATCTAAACTCAAACCCCTGAGCTTATCTTACCAGTAGGAAATGGAAAAACTTGTTATGTGTGGGTTGCAGCGATATTCGTGCAGTCAGTAGGATCCGGGTGCAAGCACTTGCATTCCTCCGTGTCCCTGGATAAGATTCCTTCATGAGGGCGCGATAGTGCCGTCCTCGACTCGAGTAGAAGCAAAAGTGCAAAAAATCCTTTGGTAGCAACAGGACACAGTGCAGTAGCCCAGGCAGGCGCCTTCTGGCTTCGTATGCTCTTAGGTATTTAGCAGCGTGCGGTCAACTGGCTGAAGATGGCTGATTGCAGCCCCAGGGAAGCTGTCCTAAATCCCTGCGTTTCTGTTAAAGCGCGGCGTGACGTGGCGGTTCCCGGGCGCGCCTCGCGCAGAAGTGCTCAGGTGTCCGGGATCAGAGGGGCAGTGTACTTGGAATGCCGGATGCCGAAGCTGATCGCAGGAGCTTCCGGCTTGGTCAGCGTCACCTGCAAGGTGGGAAGGAAGAAGGGTGAGTGGTGAAGGCCACCGCTGCCTTGGACCTGTCCTGAAGCACAGCAACAACCCAGGGAGGTGGTGCATCTAGTAGGAGTYACTTTTTAGTGACAAATGGTAGACTGAGAGTGAGGTATTTTTACTTAAAACACATAGTTTTGCTCTTTCTAAAGGCTGTTTTCTAGCCTGGGGAGAACAGATTTTTGTTCAGTGGTGACCATCTGTCATTGGAAAATGTATTTGTGCAATTTTTGCCTTTTATTGTATGTTGGCGGATGTACATCATGAAGTTTCTAGCTCGCCATGTCTAGTCCAGAAGCTCTTAATCTAAACCTCATTATTAGCAGACCATTAAAAATGTCCTGCTATAAAATGCTCGGTTGCTATTAGCATTGACATTTTTTTTCCTCTTTTGGGGGAGTAACGTGAAACAAAAAAGAAAAATAGTTTACRGATAGTTAAAACATATTCCTTAGGTTTTAAGTACACTGAAACAAAAGATCTTCTTTTCCACACAAAAGTGACCAAAATTATAATTACAGCTGATATGGAAAGTTCAAGAAAAAGAACTTCCTCAAATGCCTGAGGATTTCCAGCTCGAGGTGAGCCATACCAGATAAACCTCACCTCTAGGTGTGTCACTGCTGCGTTGCATGAGGTAGGGGTGTGTGTGTGTGTGCGTGTCTGCTGGTCTCATTGTGTGATGAAACAGCCTTGGGGGAGCTCACGTACTTATTGGAAGTCTTTCGGGTGTGTTGTGTAATGAAGAGCTTTTTTTGTGTGACCAAATTTAAGAATTCGAGTTCATAGCGAATGTACTTAATGTTTAACATTAATATTTAACATCATCGTCCCTTCAAAAAAGCAGTAAGAAGAGGCTTGCAAGCTGGAGTTGTTTAAAACAAGCTGATCCTGCAGTTTGTGATACTGGTAGTTCTCAAAAGCCCTAGCAGAGGGGTGATGGTTAAAGGATGGTTGTTGAAAAGGAGAGAATGGCCACGTGCCTTACCTTTCCTATGTAGTAGTCTGCAGGCCCTGGTTTTACTGTTTTATCTCCTATAGGTTTATTATGGCTTCTCATAGTGTACTTGGGAGCTCTCGTTTTATATACGTCCAGTTCTGTCTTCTGGTATGCAGCAGGCCCTGGAGTCTGCAAGAGAGTCRGTGGGAATAGGTGGATAAAACCGGGAGGATTTTGTTCCTCCCCGTTTCCCAGGAGGGCACCTTTGTCCCTCCTGGGCCCTTGTCCATCTAACTGGACAAGGGAATGGGCCTGGAACAGTAACCAATACAGACAACAACTCTGGTTTCCTCAAAAGAAGGTGGTTTCGACATTTCCTTTCAATATTTCGATGTTTCAGCAGCTGTTATCTGTGGGAGACTCGGGCATTTTGCATCTGTTCACCGAGCCTCCTGACGCTGCCAGATTGCAAAAGTCGCTTAGAGAGATGGGAGTCAAAACGTGCAGCAGCAGAGCCCCGGGAACCTGTGATCTCTGCTGGATCTTACATAAGGCTTGCAATTAAAGGATTTTGTTTCAAATAGGCTTTATATAATACACACTTTTTTTTTTTTTTTTTTTTAAATCCACTATCAATATAAGTGTTTTGCATGTTGGCAGTGTATTCCAAATCTTCCATACCCAATATAGCTCCCTGCTAGAGTATTACTGGTTATGGGCTATGCTTATTAGCGCTGCAGTTCTGACAACCTTGCTGTATTTTATCTCAGGAAACTGTTTCTGTGGAGGGCAAGTTTGCATTAACACCAATTCCCTTCTTCCTGACAGATTCACACTGTGTTTCATAAAGGCCTCCCTGCAAAGCTTTGCCAGCGTTTCATGTGATACCTGAAATGGGAGTGTTTACAGCACAGCAAAAACAAGCAAACAAAAAAACCCTGCG